CTTATACGGCCTTGAGCATCAGTAAGATTTTTCCTACATGCCGCATATCTGCTAAGTAGTTTCGACAGGTTTTGGTGACACTTTTATACAATTGTTTTGTCCATAGTTTCCTAACAGTGATTGCGCTACTGCTGTGGATAAAGCTTTAAAGGAAATTTATAGAAGAAAATGCATCAAAATACCTTACTTCAAAAAGAATCGCGTCTAAAAATATCAACTCAGAATGGCTGACAACAACTGGATATCCAAGGAACATAATATATGAATAATTTGTCACGACATAAGAACAAGAAGAAAGTATAATATTCCTAGTGATTAAACGTGAATTTGCCAGTGCTCTCGCAAGAATATTTTCTTTAGTTATGTAATTGTACATTGTTGATGCCATATGGCTAAAGTTTCGTGAAATACATTATATTTTCCATATTTTACATGTTTGTTTCGAGGAAAGGACTACAACTGTCAAATAATAAGGCAATAACTTAGGCCTAAGGTATCAGTAGACATATCAAACGAAGATAAACAAGCGATAACGGATTTCGATTAATAGGCGCATATCTTACCATAATTTCGGCTTTGTAACCAATACAAAATATTTCAAAACCCTTGATAAGCAGAGCAGATATTTCTTACCAAAAAATGTTAGTTTTATAATTTTACGCGGCAAATATCATGCAATAATGATGTCAATTATACATTCCCTGCCAATTATACCTCTGGGCTAATGCGACAAACTGTAGTTTAGAGGTCATTGCCCTGGGCAGTAAACTCGGGCAGTAAACTTTTGTTTCCTGCCCGGCCTATCAAATAACATGACATTTTGACACCGACAGTTTCTTGGTCATAGTTTTACTGCCCGGCTCGTGCTGTGCTTAACCCTAGAACGCCTAGGGGGGGGGGGTTGTATCAACCCCCCCCTGAGGTTTTTTCGAAGTGCACGCTAAACGGCTTGTCGTAGCGGGCTGAAATTTTCAATACCCTCTGGGGCAACCTTTGCGCATCTTTTGCCGAAAAAAAATTGATCGGGTCATGTCAGGTCACGGAGTTATGACGTCATAAGAGGTACAGCCTCCGGCCGACAGTTACCAAACGTGTGCGCCGAATCCCTAGGTTTTCTGCCGGTGATACCCACATTGTTTGATGGATCGTGATGAAACTTCCCATGCATGTTGGGGCAAGCATTGGCTATCGTGTGGTGCAAGAAAATTGACCGGGTCAGGTCAGGTCACGGAGCTATGACGTCACAAGAGGAACAGCGTCCGGTACTATTTTTGAAAAGCGCCCGAACCACTATTTTGCTAATTCTTGTCACCTCAATGGGAATATGCAGCAATATTAGCTTCTATAGGGAGCAAATGGACCTCCCAAATCCAAAAATACAATCAGATTTCAAAAATTTAAATTTTGATTTTTCGAATTTCTGCCGCCGACTGTGACCTTGCCGACTTCCGGCGCTCCCAACGCGCCATTTTTAGTGCTAGGGAAACGAAATACATACCAAACGATAGAGAATTGATCAAGGAACACGATAGTGAAGGTTTCAAGTCGATATCTCCCACCGTTTTGCCGCAATCGCCGCGGAAAGTTGAAAAAGTTTGATTTTTCGGAAAATTTGACCTTTGACCGGTCATAAGTAGGTCGAATGTTGACCTAGGACCAAAAAATATACCACCAATCGCGAGATCTCGTTGAGAGCAATCCATTGGTTTTTTCCGCTAAGCTCTACGACCTTCCGTTTCGAAACGCCAGGGGGGGGGTCGTAACAACCCCCCCCCCCCCCTGGTCGTTCGTGTTATGAGAAATGGCCTGGTCGTGCGAGGGTTAAGACATACCCCGGCATGTAGGAAAATCTCAGTATGAGCGGCCCGGCCCGGCCCGGCCCGGCCCGGCCTGTAACGCTTTTGAGAGGCTTATATCTCAGCAACCGCTGGACCGATTGGCCTGCGGTCTTTTTTGTTGGTTGGCCCCATCCCTTCTACCCCGTAATTGACTACTTTTGATACATCTCAGTGACCGTCGTGGCACGTGCCACTGCCACGTGAAAAGTCAAGGGTGTTCAAGCTGTTTTGCAAAAGTAGTGATTTTGAGAGGCTCATATCTCAGCAGCCGCTTGGGCGATTGACTTGCGGTAATTTTTATAGGGTAGCAGCATCCCTTCCAGTGTCCCAAAATATGTCGATTAGGGTGGGAATCGACCTCCAAATAATAATCATTTTGCACTCTCATCTCTAATATCTAAGAGCAATTTTCCACTCCCAGCTTTACTGAGAATAAGCATTTGCATTGGTCATTTTACATATTACATTTTACCTTTTTGTATAGAAATGTATGCCATTGATCCCTTTTCCACACCTTTTGGGCCTTATCTGAGTGGGAAATTTTCCACTCTTATCCCCCTTTTTGGAGAGGAATTTTGCCTCTGACACCCAAGCCAAAACACAATTTTGGGACACTGATCCCTTCTACCCAAAATAGGATACTCTCGATGCATGTGGGTCACCCCCCAGTGCACGTGCAAAATACAACAATAAGAGGTGCCAAATTTGTTCCCTTTTCAGTAACTCGGTAATTACTGGGGCGATTTCGCTAAAACTTGGCATACAGGTAGGCACCCACCAGGCAATGCATTCCCATGTGTTGCGGTTAGGGTGCTACTGCACGTGCGCACGTGCAGGGGGCGTTTCCAGATCTCGAGAACGGCTGGGCCGATTGCGCTCAAATTTGGTACACGGTTGGGGACCAGTTTGTAGGGTGCCGTGCAAAAGTCATTTTGGATCCCGTTTGCACGTGCGCACGTGCAGAATGCCGCTTCCAGATCTCAGGAACGGCTGGGCCGATTGCGTTCAAATTTGGCACACCGCTAGCGACCAGTTAGAAGGGTGCTTTGCGCAAGCCCGTTGGAAGCACCCTCTCGCCCTTCCGCACGTGCAGGGCTCACTATCTCGCTCGCTCGTTCTTCGCCCAAAAGGCGTTTTACTGATAGATAATCTTGATCTATCGTTTAGCTATAGTTTTTAGCTAGATCGATGACGTTTGTTGTCCATGACAAGCAACCACCGTTTGACAACTGGTGCATGGCCTTTTTTGGCCGAGCCCAAGCTTGTCAATCAGGTTTATCTCTTGCTCTCTCTGGCTTCGTTAGCTGATGTAATTGCGCCTTGCTCAATCCTTACTGCTTGCAGATGAGCTGCTGAAGCTCTTCAGCAAAACTTCAGCCGAAAGTCCGTTTCCAAAGTTGAGAACGGGAGTTGATTCACCATGGTTGCCTTAGTGGCTGAAGCTGAAAACGGAAAATGACTTCTCTTACTTGACTCTGGATAATAATTGACTCGAGTCGTTACCGATCACCAAAAGCACACAGTCCCCAAGCTCGATAGCTAAGGGATAGCTTATAAAAGTATAATGCATGTATATCATTAGAATCGAGTGCAATCGTACTTTTGGCCAGAAAATAAATGTTCGGGTAATACTGGGACACCCTGTACGTATAGAGCTTCCGGGGGGGGGGGGGGTGTGGCACAGGACACCGGATTTGGCCCGAGCCCGGAAGTAGAGTCGGAAGGACAGTGATCCGAGCGGACTTCTTCGGACAACAGTCCTCGCTGGTCTGACGTCACGTTCACATGGTCTTCCGCTGGGGAGGGAGGGGGGCGGGGTGGGGACTCGGCACCGGCGCCGGTCTTCTGATAACCATGGCGGTAGCCAGTACGAGACCCGCATAGCGGATTGTCGCGTATTTCCGCTGGATATGCTGGGCAATTAGTGTATCACTTGACAAGTGATTCTCGTTACCTTCTTCATCACCGTGTGCTTACTGCCATCCTGCAGACGTTTTATTTTGATTTATATTTCCTGGTTATGCACTTGGGCTGCACGGACGTCATAACTCAATTCGTAAAGTAAATGGATTGGCTGTGGCCTGTGTGTTCGGATTTCGCTGGGAACGCTGCATTAAAGCCGTACAATGCTACTCACAGTTATTCATGCATGACAATAATTACAGGCTTCCATAAATCGATAGCTGTGTTATTCCATAAAACGACCCTCTAGCCAGACTTCTTCGAACCGACAATCCGTGGCCACACTCATCTGCTTTAAGTGTTAGCAATCCCACCCAAAGCCGCAATGCAGACTGCGGGCCCTGAAATTCCCAGTGACTTAGCAAATTATGCAATATGCATGCCGGTATAGGTACGGGCGACTTGCTGGGTGTCGCCTCTAATCGTATGGATGGGCAGTGGGTAGCTGCTTCTCAGCCTGAATGGACCACGTGAAGTTGGATCACAGGCCACTCGTTCGTGATTCGAGTATGATGATGTCCCCCGCGGAATAAAGCTGGCCTCGTGGGACGGACCGCAGTCATCATTTATGTGTGGGACCTGCGTGGGCTGAAAGTCAACCGCTGTGGGCACGTGTGCTGAACATATTCGATACATCTGTCATCACACATTTGCGGTGGGTGTGGCACGCTGCACCTGTCAGTGTCCATAGATGTGTTTTAATAACTTCGGTGTTATCGTGAGTAGTTACATTAGTTCTCTCGTAAAGTCGGAAATGGTTTGGCGAATGGGCTGGGAGTGTATGCAGGTAGAATGTCGTTATGCCGTCTAGACGTCTGGTGGTTCTAGACGCCAGTCTGAGCCGGGCGATCGACCGTGTCGCGTCGAAGGAGGGTGAAAGGGGACCGCGCGGTCCCGCCGACCCCCATTCACCCCCGTACCTCCCCCATAAATCTACTGAAACGGCCCTACGTCACGGAAGTCGACTGGTACACTCAGCCGCACCGCCTTAGGCAGTCGAAGTTTCCAGTTCGCCATAGTACGACCTTGTACCCAACGTCACCCTTCTCCTCTCTCCTAACAACCATTTTTTTTTTTAGAAATCTGCCTTCTATCATCCCACCCTTGTCCCTCGCTCTGTAATCTGATTATAACCAATGGCGGTGTTTCTCCACATTTATACATACGTGAATCTGCGACTAACCATGGTCTCTGTTGCAGGTCCTCTGCGACTAGCGGAAGGTGGACATCGATAACCGTGTGAGCTGGCATGGTCTCTTCGTGGACAGGTATGTGAAAATAGTAATTAGCGTGTCCTCCGATCAACTCCCCTCCCTGTTTGGCTGTGAAAGGCCGTCAACACCCGGGTTTATCTTCGCCTCCAGCTCTGTGCGAGCCACCGCTTCGTCAAACCCGGGTGGACGACGAGGGTCGTTTGGGAACAAAGAACAGGACGGTGATGATGGGGATGGTGGGTGGGCAAACACTCCGCGCACCCCTTGTACACCGCGGCTCGGCTCACACTGCGCGTGTTATCGGCCGACCACGGCGGGCCGCCGCGGTTCTGTTTGTTCTTCTCCACCCTTCTCGTTATCGCCCCCCCCCCCCTCCCCCTCCCCCTTCCCTGGACCCCACTGGCTCGGTGTCGCGTCGTGTCACCTCGGCCCGCTAATCACGATTCAACGTCCCGTTAATGCTTGATTAGCGTGTCCTCCGATCAACTCCCCTCCCTGTTTGGCTGTGAAAGGCCGTCAACACCCGGGTTTATCTTCGCCTCCAGCTCTGTGCGAGCCACCGCCAAACACCCCAAACCACTTCTATAGCGCCCATCGAACGGTCCCCCCCCCCTATCCCGTCTCCTCGTGGCCGTTCTACCTAGATTCTTCCCCCCCCCCCCGCAGCCTATCGCTGCGCCCACCTGTCATCCTGCGTCCGTCTCCTGTCGCTCCGTTGATGTTGTCCTGTTATTCCGTACACCAAACCGAGCACTTATATCGCGTTCGTCGCGCGCGCCGCGCGAGAAACACTCCGCGCACCCCTTGTACACCGCGGCTCGGCTCACACTGCGCGTGTTATCGGCCGGCCACGGCGGGGCCGCCGCCGGCCTGTTTGTTCTTCTCCACCCTTCTCGTTATCGCCCCCCCCCCCTCCCCCTCCCCCTTCCCTGGACCCCACTGGCTCGGTGTCGCGTCGTGTCACCTCGGCCCGCTAATCACGATTCAACGTCCCGTTAATGCTTGAATAGCGATCAATGTTGTGATGATGAACGTAGAATTCCCCGGCTTACAGGTCCAGTTACTTCAGTTTTACAGTTCCACCAGATTTGCAATTGATGCAAGTAAATGTTGGGGACGCAGATTCAGTATCACAAAGCGGCAGAGGCGGATCCAGCTCAGAGTTTTTTTTTTTTTGGGGGGGGGGGTGCAAGCCATAACAATTTATCGATTCTTTCCATGCCATGTCCATAGGCGTAATGTTAAAATTATGCCCTTTTGGGAGGGGCAAATGCCCATTTTGCCCCCCCCCCCTGGATCCGCCACTGCAGAGCGGATAGGTGGTGATAAGCATCTACACTATATCAGCAAAAGTATGACTTTTTATGTATAAAAAAACTGGACTAGATATATAATCAGTCGTATTTTAGTTCCATGGTTTTTACCGTTCCATTTCTAACAACAGTAATAACAAATAATGAATATGTCCCACCATAGCAATAACATGTTCTGCGTTCTCTATAGTATCATAATGAATATAGGCACTGAATACTTAGCGGTCTTGGATATAATTAGGAACTCATTTCAAGTTGAAACTTTGCCTACCCGGGGTATATTGCGTGATCCATCCATTTCAAGCCAGCTAACATTGCCCTTTAGCCCTCTTTTGAGCGCCACGTGCCTCTGTAATCGCAGTTTTGCACAGAAATAGACAAACACAATCGCTATCTGGCTCATGCTAACATGGTTTAGCCTCCGGGACATGTGCTTTAGAAGGCCTTTGATTTAATAATTAAGTACATGGCTCTCATTGTTTAGTTACTGTAAGTTCAGTGCAGGGACTTTCATCATCTTTTCGCACTGTCGGGTGGCCAACTGGGCATGTTGAATGAGTGTCCAGCGGTCACCAGGTCTTTTCTGGACCAAATACCAGCCGATGGTATGCCGCTGCTCCCCCGCGATGTCACGCTCTCTGCTCTGGTCAGCTGGTGAACATGCCAGCACCGGTGCTGTAGGAACACCGTGACGCTAGTGGCGCCGTTGGCTAGCACGATTTTGGTCCGTCTGTGTGAATCGGCTATATGTTCGTAAAGTGACGTCGGTGATGTGAGTGACAGGAATGTGGGTTTTATGTTGCGTTCTGTTTTCGGCTCTGTGTTCGCCGGTGAATCGTATGTTCCTGTGGTCGTATAGTGAAGTGGCTGATGTGGGTGACAGGCATCAGCGATGGCGGGGACAGGGAGCATGAGTGTCGGGTACGGCACCGGAACTATCCAGGGTCACGAGAAAGATATGACCACAGCAGGATGCTAACCGACATTAACCGTTGACCTATAGCACATTATTATACGTGCACACATAGAACAAAGCTTAACTGGAAGTTTTTCGCATCTGCTTGTTTGAAGCTCTAGAAATGGAAGAAGAAGGTCAATAAATACACAGTTCCGACATTAACAATTGCCTACTCCTTATATGTAGTTCCTTCTGAAGACAGTGAGGCGCGGTCCCTTCCTTGACGCGAGCCCACTGCACCTCCCGGTGCGGAGGGGTTCGGGGAGGCATTCAACCACTCCCAGGAATGTTTGGGGGAGGCCAGACACAGGTCGTTGGTACGGAAATAGACGCGCCTGCGTGATGAATCGGGTCCCAGTTTGTTTTGGCGCGCCCGGCCGCTCAGTGTGTGCCGCTCGGTGTGAGCGCAGTGAGCGGGAAAAGTGACAGATCTCGGGGAGAACGTCAATGAACGGTTCTTTGAATAGGACAGTCGTATAAAGGAGTATACTGATTGAACCCTCGCCCGGTCAGGGAGATCAAGAGATTGTTATCCTTAGCTTTTGTGTAATGGGCATTCGGCGTACATACAAGTTAAGACAGATCACCGTGCTGAAACTTTAACCACTCAATTTGGTATCCCACAAATTTGGGTAAAAATGTCGATCGATCCAGGCAGAAGACGGCATGACGCTTAAAGATTTGCAATTTCTCAGTTGTTATATGATGTGTAGTTGTGCCATGCCCCATATGTTTTAGTTATTGAAAATGCGATGTGCGTAAATGTTTTGAACGAACCTTCCTCGCACTTTGTGTCTACTCAGTTCTTATTTATTAGACGTACACAGCCGCAGAACATTTCGTTTTTCTTGAGGACAGTCCAATTGTTGATCTGATCCGCTTGTGACTTGCTCTTTGTTTATCGTAAATTAGCCGGAACGAGAAGAAATTAACTGTCCCGGGTCCTGGAAATTACCCGATCTCTGAGAATGTAACGGGAGCAGAAGTTGCATCAGTCTCCTCTCTGGTCGTCTGAGAGCACCACGCGTGCTTCATGTCGCGGTTGCACCACCACCGTGGACATATGTCAACGAATGTCTGCCGCGGAGACACCCAATTTCAACCCTGCAACCGCGACCCTATCGAGATTGGTTTGGTGTCTTTCAGAATGCATCGTGTCTGGCATTTCCCACATCAGTTCGGTAGGGGTTTCGTAAGGTTTGGAGACGAAATATACCAGACAATTTGCGTGTTACGGACTGATTTGCCACCTGATAACTGAGCGGTGTGCTATGAGCACAGGTGGCCTACTCTAGACGTGTCTCAATCGAGATGACTAGGCCGTCCCAGGACACTAAAAGCCCACGTAGTTAGCTGGTTGGCTCATAGTTGCGCTGATACCGGCTGAGGTTTGAGGTACTGAGACTATATTTTTTTGTAGGCTCGGACTTATTTGAAAACTCGCTTCTAACTATAGCCTGCGTTTTTTTGTGATGTGGCACTGAGACTTCGTTGTTGTGAAATGAATCGTGAAACGATTTTTTCTTTCTTGTTTATTGGTACTTACTATGTTTGTTCTTCACTTCATAGTAGAATTATTTACTGCCATGTATTGCTTTTTGTTTTAAGCTTTGGTCTATGCTTGTTTTCTTTGTCTTCAACAAACTCCCAAAAATTAACCAGGGTGGCTGCCTAAATGAAGGATTTGGATGTAACTCAGTGCAGATGACCATCCTCCTGACTGCTCACCTCTGACCGGCTGACCTCTGACTACTGACCTCTGACTGCTTACCTCTGACCGGCTGACTTTTGACTGCTGACCTCTGACCTCTGATTGCTGACTACTAACCTCTGACTGCTAACCTCATGACCGGCTGACTTCTAACTACTGACCTCTGTTGCAGGTGGTCGTCTCTGCTTCCAGCTCTGACCTCCACTCGCCATGCTGACCGTGTGGGGACCCCTGACGCCGCTCCTCATCCTGCTCCTGGTGGCTCAGAGCGCCGCAGGAGCTGAGGCGCACAGCGTGGAGCCCGTGATGCGGTCTTCGCACGGCCGCTGCCTCACCAACATCGAAGGTCAGTGGACGGGGGCACCACGGCTGGGCGGGGGGCACCGCAAGGAGGCTGAGGTCCATGCCAGTCTCTTTAGACTGGGGCGCCGCCACTGGACAGGGGGCACCGTAAGGAAGATGAGGTCCAGGCCAGCATATGTTATGTTTTTAATCGACGCGTTTATATACCGACCGAATTCCGAGGTGAGGTGTGTTTCCAAATATTGCTTCCCTTGGAGACTTTTGCTACCATTGCATGCGCAGTAAATTTAGGTATCCAATATTTATTGGTGTTGTCATTTTATGCGGTTGTTATTACGGACTTCCTTTGCGCGCAGCTTTTGTCACTTTTGTCGTATTTGCGATGCAGTTTGGTACGCATAATCCTAAAGCATCGTCTTAATTCACGTGTTTTTTATCCTGATCTTCTTGTTCTTCGTAAGCGAGCGATGATGACGGCAAGAGTAACTGAGAAAGAGAACGAGAAAGAGAAAGAGGAAAAAGAGAAAGACACAGCGAGAGAGAGAGAGAGAGAGAGAGAGAGAGAGAGAGAGAGAGAGAGAGAAAAAAATAGAGCCCCGCTCCTCGCAGAGCCCCGCTCGCCCTGGGGGCGGTGCCGTGACGGCCGGACGGCAGGACGGAGCGTCTTTGTGCCCTATCGACCCCTGCCGGTCGTTTATGGCGGGTCACGGGGCTCGTCGGCCGGGTCGCAGAGCTCGTCACTCGGGGCACGGGGTGCCAATGGGCACTACGGTGACACGGGGCGCCGCCGCCTCGTGTAGCAGTGATTTACTGAGCGGGACCCGCTCCTGTTATCGTAAAACCGAGACGTCTGGGGGTGGGGGAGGGGAGGCGTCTGGCGGGTGTGGCAGCATGTGTCGCAGTCAGGCGATATTAGGGGCTTCTTCGGGCGACGACCGTCGGAGACGTAGGGCCCCAGTGGAGCAGCTGAACCGGTGTTCCATCCCGCTCGCTTATTCTAGGAAGTGTGACTGAAGAGTACGATGACGCATGTTACTAATGCGACGATACTGCGTCACGCAGGTCACGTACGTCACACTTTACCACGTGCGTCACGTCGCACATATGGTGCGTGACGCTCGCCCTCGTAATGCGTCAGCCGTATCGTCGCGTTCGACAGCCACGAGGTGCTGTATGGATTCTGAATACCGTTTAATGGACGGGCTTTGCGAGGTCAGACCGCGGCGCCGTTTTACGCCATCGGCGCGGCTGCAGCAGCGTGCTACAGGGTAAACACCGGGGCTCCGACGGGCGACGCCGGTCGAAAGGTCGCCGATTCCACTGGCCGGCACTCGCAGCGGCACCCGGCTCCCGCGGCCGGTGGCAGCGGCAGACCGCTGGCGACAGTTGACCTTTGACGTGCCAAGAGAATGTCCCCACCTGTAGGTGTTGTCGCAGCGAGCCACCTGTCCTTAGGCATCCATACCAAGCGAGATGGACGGGCCGCATTTTGGAGTCCTAGTGCATCCAAATTAGAGTTGCAAAGTTTTCCCAATGGGCTGCTACCGGCACCGCCCCGCCCCACAAAAATTTTCTGGGATACCGGCATGCTACTACGCCCCAAGCAAAAAACCGCCAAATTACCGGCATACCAAAAAACCTGCATTCTTGATTCTGGCTTACCCCTACATGAGATGCCACATTTTGGCAATTTCAGTAACCGCCCCACCCAGCAGCCACCCATTGTCCAACCAAAACTACCAGCAGCCTGATGTTGGCTGAGTTCGCCCCACAAATACCACAATTTTGAAACTCAATTCCAGTCTACAGCTGTTGAAATATCACCTGTAATCAAAAAGGTATTGCCTACAAAAAGCATTAGCACATTCATCAAAAAAGCAAGGACAAAAAGAACTTGAATTACTGAAATGTGTTTCTGTGTGAGCACAGTGAGCAGCAATCACATTTACCACAAGCGTTCTTATTTTCCACATTCTCCTAAAATGTTGCAGGTACCAACCAAATAATGAACTATAGATAGTCACAAATCACAATACAAAAACTACAGATTCGACCATGTTCCTAACTGAGGAAGCGAGATCAACATCAGCTTTTTCCTATCCGCCAAGGTCATCCTATCCGCCATGGATTGCTGGCTCGTGAGTAAGATACGAATTACGAACTTTGTAAAAATATGTGTTAATAACTCACTTGTCCTGAGAAGTCACCAAATAATATGTATAAAAACGATATAATATCCTCCCCCATCTCAAACGCGGAAACAAACACAGGTTTTCAAGGATTTCGTTATTTTCGAAACAGATGCGCCATAACACAGTTTTTAACCAGCTGATTAAAAAACTGCAAAAAAAGGTTTTAGGACTGCAAACTTCTGCCTCGTGAATGATTTCATTGATAAAAATCATCCAACACGATATTGAATTCCAATGAAATCAACACTGTGAGTGTTATTCACTACAAGAAAATTGATTTCTCTAGAGTGATTCAACCAAAAGGGCATATGAATAAATATTACGTCATCAGCTTACATCCTTTCTTTAGGGGATAGAGGATCTTAAAAGTCAATCCTTGGTTGCCTTTGCGCCACATTGCGCCACTTTGTATTCATTTCGTCTGCATGTTGTGTTTTCTTGTGAAGATAAGACAAAATGCCAGTTAAATTAATTTTCATTTCATTTTGGGACCAAAGTTAGACTCAGGGCTACCTAACACCTGCCTTTTCAGCTGGATTTTCAGTGTCAAATTCTTTGTAGAGTATCTCAGACCACATCTCAGGACTCAAGGCCAGTTTCCAAACAATGTGTTTTGTGTTGTTTTGATTCTGCCTTTTGCCTAGGGAATGATACCATGAACATTGAACATTTATTTATTTTAGTTATTGTATTATGCCCATTACCTACCATTAGACTTACTAATTGGTTTTGCTTTTGCAACATGAATGAGTATTCTTTGTCTTCCTTTGATAGACCACAGTAGATTCTTGACAATTCTAATTAGAGCCAAACCTGTGACGATAGGCGTTATCACAAGTGTATTCGCGGCCATTGGGGCGACGTAAGAAAAGAAGAAACCAACTGGCCCCAAGAACTTTAAATTATCAGTTAGCATGCACCTTTTCCTTGATGTGTAGATAATTTACCATTATTTGTTACAGAAAATTGCATTTAAAATCTTCCATTTATGCTTTTTTCATCGTTTGCACAATATGTTCTTTTACTAAGCTAGAAAGACTAATTAGAAATAGTTCCCGCATCATCAAGAACAATAGGGAAGGCTTGAAGTGAATAAAATATTTTAAACGGTTTTGTAATATACACTGTAAAAAATGATAGCACGTTTTGTGTTATATGGCCAAAAACGACTCGGTACAGCCGTATCTCATAACACGCCACCGTGTTTTCTCATACACGGTAAATCCGTGCTACATAACTCGGTATGAGTTTTGACTTTCCAAAAAGTGGTGTTCCGTAACTCGATAAAGACGTGTTACCGAGTTCGATAACTCGCCAACATGTTTCTAGCGTATCGAATAACGCGTAAAATAGCTCGCATTAAAGATGTTAAGTGTTCAATAACACCACTGGTGTTTCTGGGCTCGGATAATTATCGGCTACATAAACTTATTTGTGTTAATATATCCGGAAATTAGATGTTAGTAAACTCGCCATAAACGTGTAACGTGTTTCGTAGCTCGGTTCGTGTTCATATACTTCCCGTCCAGTACCTCCTTTTAGAATGTATATTAACGCAAGATGAGCTCCATTACACGATTCAATGATCACGTTGAATGAATATATGAATATATAATTCATGTGGACTTATTGCGATGAAAGGCGTACCTTCTTTGATGCAAACGGGGCTGTAACAGGCCCAGCCGCGTTTAAACGGAGGTAACGTCTTTAACCGCAATAAATCGACATGAAGTATACATTTATACAACTCATTCCACATAATTATTGAGGCGTGTAACACAGTTCGTTTTGCTTTAACACACATCCTCGTTAGACAAGTTCATTAAGTCTCAGAGTACAGATCTACTCATTATATATTTCAACAGATTGTTCACAGTATAAACAATACACATGCGCTCTGAGCCTCATCAGAAGTAACACCACGGCGGGCGAGCAGTGGACAGTGGTCCTCCGCGATCAGCAACACTAGTATTGTGAAAGACACCTATGAACAACACGTCTTTGGGCCTGGCGATGGGAGAGTAGAGGTGCCGTTTCACATGCATTCACTGGCGCGGTCTTCAGCTTGTCGAGCCGATCGTCGCAACGATTTTTTTAACGACTTTCCGGTCGACATTTGGGAGAGCTATTGCGTCAATACTAGCTGGGAGTTCTGAGCGCTGGGGCATTGAATTTTCTCATTGAACACGGGGAACATTGCCGCACAAACTAGGAGGCGCACACTCAGAGGCGTGTTGTCTTCGGAGATGGCAGCCTCGCTCCCCTCCACCCATGACACATAGCGGTACGAGAGGAAATTCTAAAAGGCGTCCAACTTCTCCTGGTTCGTGTCTGAAATAAGAAAAAAATAATGTCAGTAAATGACGAAGTGCATGAATGAACGGCATAATGATACATACTCTAACCTTCGCACGGGTGGGGGGTCGGGGGGGGGGAGCGTTGGCCACACTTGCCAGTTTTTTTGCGAGTGTAAAAAAAATCGGCGAGCAGCGCTGCGAAACTTGGTATAGCTTATAATACATCAATTTCACATCGTGAGTAATATTTTCGATCCCGGGTCACATAAGGTCAGGTCACAGTCCAAGTTAAGTGATCATGCCTCTTTAACCCTCGCCCGTATTGGTGTTTTTCCAGCCGCGAACGTATAAGGGGGGGGGGGGGGTCCGTTGGACCCCCCCCCTTGCCGTTTCGCCCCTGATCGAGCTAGAGCTTCGCGGAAAAAACGAGCGTATTGCCCGTGACGAGAGGAAGCCGATGATACCCAATTTTAAGGTACTAGGTCATCGGTTGACCTTCCAGGTCAGGTCAATGACCCAAAAGTCGGGAAAATCGGGACCTGTTAGAAAGTCGTAAAGCGTGGCTGTTATGGGATTTTTCGGGGTGCTGATCACGAATATCATGTTAATTTTGATCACAGATGATGTCTTCATGCATTTAGGCCAGGTCGGGTCAGGTCAGGTCAGGTCAACCAGTAAAGGTATTCGTAGTAGGTGGCAACCGTCTCTACAGCTTCGTAACATGTTACGAAGGTGCTAAAACCACTTCTTAAATGTTCATATGGTTGCTAAATTCGAATTCAGCTAAAAAAACTGGCCTAGAAACATGTAAAACTCGAAAAAGTGAACCGAGGTCATCAAAGGTCAATGACCTGACCTGACCTTCCGGTGACCTTGACACCAACCCTAATGCATGGGAGCAACATCATATCCCATGTTTGAACGCTTAAAACCACGAAAAGACTGCAAATGCGCGGCTAATGCGAGCCGACATACGCCGAATCGCGATTCCGGCCAAACATGGTCTCGAAAAGTAGGTCACAGGTCAAAGGTCATTAGGGTCAGGGTCATGAAAATTTCAGGGTAGGTGTAAAATTGATTAACGCGAGGGTACTGAAAGTTTCGTCGCGATAGGCCGCTTTTTACGCGAGTTATTTGCGAAAAACCGAGGGGGGGTCCGTTCGACCCCCCCCCCCTATACGGGCGAGGGTTAAACTTTGTGATTCAGTCATTTCTAAAGTATATTCGTACATCCCAGAAGTTTGAAACTCATGTTATTTGCATGAGCCTGTCAGTATGAACAATTTGCATTTCTCGGAATTTTGATATCTGTGACCTAAGGTCAGGTCGATTTTGTGACCCCTCCATTGACTTTTAGTCAATGGAAGAAAATTGAAATCCGCTTCTTTTGGCCGTAAATACCCTCAAACATCGGGACACAGATGAACATGGCACAATGAACCGGAAAATTGCACCTGTGACCCCCTTAAATGCCTCTGAGGTCATCTCAGGTCACGAACCGTCTCAAACAGTTTCTGAAAACACCAGGAATGTGTTCAGCTTAACAATACGAATCGAATGACTTGCAACATGACCTCTTCCGTGACCTTGACCTGAGGTCAAATTTTTAAGTTGACCTTTTCGGGTCAACTTATAGGTTATTCGACGCGTCTCCCCGACGTCATTTTTCTTTGACCTATGACATCACAGGACGGCGAGCAAGGTCAAATTGTAGCAGTTTATAATGACAAACATTTTATTAAAGTGACTTATCATTTAAAAGAGACGACAAAACGTTAATACCTATTTAGTCAGGAAGAGAGGGGCAAGTACCGTAGATATTACTCTAGACTACTTTCAGTACCTAACAAGTTCTGAAAAAATCGGACGTCACGAGAACAGTCGCTTTTTATTTTTTAGTCTTTCAAATAACTATATCACTGGCAGTTTTACAGACACATATTTTGTTAATTTTTAGGATGTGTATGGTTACGAAACGGGAGATGTTCAAAACCGTGACACTTTTTTGAGACACCCTGCATAGGCGGCGGAACGATTTGAGACAAGGGGGGGCACCATGGCTCAAGGAGCCAAACCTAGGGTACCCCAAATCCTGTTTTCTCATCGGATTTAGGCCACTTATTTTTCGTCACAGCCCTGACACGATGATTTTTTTTTATTTTTTTTTTACTAAACGAAAATGGCAGTTCACCCCCGTATGCAGGGGTGTACCTAATTTTATATCTCTTTGTGGGGGCATATGCACCCACAATCCTGAATTATGCCCCCGCAATGATGAAAAAGCACCCACAAGTCTTTTACAAGGCTGCAAGCGTCCTTTCGAGAGCACGGTGCCCTTCGCATGCTCTAACGGCGTCCTCCTGACCGTCTCGCGTTCATGGATAGCGTTTTTAATCACTCGGCGCCCTTCTGGGAGAATGGCGCACTTTTGACAGCACCGCGCCATTCTCATGGTCTAACGGCGCCCTCCTGACCGTCTCGCGTCCTTAGGTCTCTGTTCACCGTGCATCCCTCGACTATTCGGCGCCCTTCTGGCCTCTCAGCGCCCCTGAACCACATATAGCGTTTTCAATCACTCGGCACCCTTTTACGAGAATGGCGCCCTTTTCATGATCTCAAGGCGCCCTCGTAACCATCTGGCGCCCCCACGTCCCCACCAACGTAGCACTACTGACTGTGCGGCGCCCTTCTGGCCTCTTAGCGCCCCTGGACCACATAGCGTTTTCAATCACTCGGCGCCCTCCTAAGAGAATGGCGCCCTTTTCATCGTCTCACGGCGCCCTCGTAAGTCGTAACCGTCTGGCGCCTCCACATTTGGTGCCCCTCCTACTGGATGGCGCCTCTCTACATATTTTTTACGTCCTTCCGGTCAGTTTCCACTTTTCAGCGTGTATTTGCTTAGTCAGACACGTCACTTGAAGCGCCATTCGGCTAGCAATGTTATCAAATTCGGTGTTAATTTAGGCTCCCACATAAAGAATATCTATCGCGCCCCAAAACGGCCTGGCGCCGGGCGCCCCTACAGCTGGGCACCCACAATCATTTTAGGAAAATTACACCCCTGCCCGTATGTGTGGTTAACTTTAAGCTGATCCTCAATATGTGTTTGTCTCTTCCTTATTGTCGTTTGATAAATTCCATTTATCCTACATGTATAATTCCCAAGAAGCCATCGCAGTACTAATCAGTGGCGAATCCCAGGGTGGAGGTCACATGGGTCATGACTTAGGGCCTGGGGTCACCACATGCCTGCCAGGAGCACCACAGGCCTGACAGCCGACAGGGGCACCACAGGCCCGCCAGGGGTGCCAAAGGCCTAGCAGGGGCACCACGGGCCTGTCAGTAGCACCACAGGCCCGTCAGGAGCACCATCGGCCTAGCAAAAGCACTACAGGTCTTCCAGGGGCACCACAGACCTGCCAGGGGCACCAGAGTCCTGTCAGGGACACTATCGGCTTCGCAGGGGAACCACCGGCTTCGCAAGGGCACCATGGGCCTGTCAAGGGCACCACAAGCCTGTCGTTGGCAATTTAGGATTGTCAGAGGCACCACAAACCTGTCAAGGGCACCTGCGTTCTAACAGGGGCACCACAAACCTGCCAAGGCCCAGGGACACCACAGGCCTAGCAAGGACACCACAGGCCTGTCAGGGGCACCACGGGCCTGTCAGGGCCCATGGGCACCTAAGTCATGTCAGGGCCCACCGTAGGCTTGTCAGGGGGCAGGGTAGGTAGGTACCACAGTCTTTCCAGGGGCACCAGCGGCTTAGCAGGGGCACCAGTCATCACATGACTAACCAAAAATAAAGAAAAAAACTGAAAATAGGGCACCACCAAAATTAAGTGGCCGAAATCCGTTGAGGTTTTAATTTTGGGCATAGGTAGGGGCACCACTTCGATTCATGAACCTCCCCTTAGAGTTTTCCCGAATCCGCCCTGGTACTAATACATCAAATTTAAGGGGGGGCACCTTGCTTTTGGTGCCCCCCTTGCAGAATTCAAGGGGGGGCACGGTGCCCCGGTGCCACCCCCGTTCCGCCGCCTATGACACCCTGTAAAGGCAATAAGGAATAAGGATCTCTCCGACATATGCTCCGTTTTTAACTTCCCTAAATTAAAAAAAAAAACTGGAGGAGTTTTGAGTGTAGAAATATCAAAATATTGATATTTCTTTTTCGGAAATTTTGTGGTAGCAGTTTCCTTTGCCATGCATTTTGTACCTAATGTGCGATTTTTGAGTCTTTTGATTGAAAATCTATTTTGTGATTTATTCCCGTGAACGACTTTTTTATTTTTTAGACGGAAAATGTCCGAACATGACCTCAGTTTGACCCCCATAACTCATGACCTGAGGTGACCTAGGACGCATTTTTCAGGAGTTGAGTGAAATTGATGTCCGGAGGAGTACTAGAATCGGCGAGTTAAAAATCGCGGCCGTTTTTTGAGTTATCAGCGTAAAACAACAGGGGTGCCTCCCACTCCCCAGCGGGTCGCGGGCGTCGCGGGTTAAGCTCGCACCCTTTACTGAAGTGACCGTCCCTTGACCTCTAAATGGCCATTCCCTGCCATTATACTCTACACGAAAGGCCAACGTTTATAAACTAACACATACTTGGCGATTAGGTAAGTTCACCATCGACTCTATAGTTTATACCTATTATCGGTAACGTCCAACATCAACCCTGATCAGTGGCGGATCCAGGGGGGGGGGCAAAATGGGCATTTGCCCCCCAAACGGCATAATTTTAACATTACGCCTATGGACGATGCATGGAAAGAATCGATAAATTGTTAAGGTTTGCCCCCCAAAAACTCTGAGCTGGATCCGCCTCTGACCCTGATCAACCCAATAGCCAATGCACATCAAAACAAGATACCTATAAGAACCATCAAAATACAGACGGCTGAGTTTCGGCGTCCGGATCCGTCCGCCGGAGGAGGCCGTCAGCCGTCGCTATGGCAACGGCCTGGCGCTTGGACAGCGGGACAGCTGGCCATGGGAGCGGGACGAGAGAGGGAGAGCGCAGGGGTAGAGCGGGGCGCCGGGGCGCCCGGGCTCTCGTCGGATTTGGGTAATCGGTTATGCTTTTGACGATAATAAATATGTTAAACATGTGATTTTAATTTTCAATATCGGCTTCATATTATAGAAGACAAAACCCTAGTCTACTAAAATACAACGGAGTCCCATGCAGACACTAATTGTGATTTGTGATATGTGAAATAATAAATCGGCAGAAATAGGACAATACCTTCTTATCCTGTTAGCAGTTGAGCCGCATTCATCAAGGAATGAAGTCCTGCCTCACAGTCTTGAGCTCTGACTGTGGGACTTGGAGATTTACCTTCATTCTGCTCATCTTGAGCCGTATTCTGAAATAAATAAATTGTGTCAGTTCGCAGCCAAACAGATGTCTACCTACTTCTTATCCACAGACAAATAGAAAAGCAGAGGGAGATACCATGGAAAAGAGAGAGAGAGAGAGAGAGAGAGAGAGAGAGAGAGAGAGAGAGAGAGAGGGCAAGAGAGAAACCAGGCAGACTAATTATAACTAGCTGGTAGATATATGGCAAAAGTTGAAAAGGTACAGTCAAAATTATTCATGTAAGTAGCATGTTTACAAACGCACACATAGCCACCAGTGGTGGAGTGGCAGAATGAGAATCAGGGCCGAGGGCTCCTCCTTTCCATCCATAACGCCACACTAGTCACCACACGGATAATATTTATGAAACCACGCCTAAAAGACATTTAATATCACTGATGTTATTGCTAAGAAAAATTTGGAGCAAGCATCACTTGTACTTACCAACAAGACGTCACACGCAGCACAGATGCACGACCTCCCTGGATCGCACAAAGATGGCGACTGAGGCCCACGCGGCGCTGCATTTGGCGCGAAACTGAACCGAGTAAGTTAACAACCCACAGTGTTAATTGGTGTTAATGTCCCTCAAGATCGCGGCCCAAATAACCCCATTCGGGTTTTTAAACTCGACGCAGAGGGGTAAAACACGGCAACGTGTCATTCAACACGGTAGAACCGTGCGCAAAAATGCTTCCACAAAATCGTATTCGTGTTTCGGAACACAGTGTCCGCCAATTGCGGGTATGAATACATGGCGATTACTCGAACAGTGTCATTGTACATGGGGATTCCGAGCTAGTTCATCCTGATTTGGACTAACCGTGTTTTGCTTCGCAATAAGGTTTAAATTACTCGATAAATACGGATTCATTAGCAAGTTAGTTGTTTGAACACATCGTTAAAGTGAGTCAGAAAACTCAAACTGTGCTAACATTTTTTACAGTGTATGTGAAGGCACTTCTAAAATTGCCTGTAGAAATATTGAAGGCAAAAGTTCAACTTTTTCACAAGACGGATGTCTATAAACCTATTTAACTTGTGACAACTCAGCCGGTATTTCGTCGCCTACAGCCCAGCTTTCCCTAGTGACCGATAGAGGCGCTGCTATCGATGTCCGCCCGTGCCGCCTAACGAAATGCTGAGGTCCATGTTTTACCCCTGTCCCCTACCCTGCCTACCCTTAGCAATGGAACTTCTACCACAAAATGTATTTTGCAGTGGCTAAGATTGCTGTTATTACAATTCAATAGCCTCTTAGTGTCCAAAGTTTGAATCATATGCTGATAAGTTTTTTTGTGTGCAAAATCAAAAATACCGGCATGCTACCGGCAAGACATGCCAGATACCACGAAAAAACCTGCGGTAGTGAAAAATTACCGACATGCCGGTAGTGCGGTAGGGAAATTTTGCAACTCTAATCCAAATTAACTACTAATTATTGCCGCATTATTGCTTCTCTGGCACTTGTGGCTGCATGCACCGATGACCTCCACAGTCCGAACGCCCTGAGCCCCAAATCATCATCATCATAATCGCACTGGTAGCTGGGGACCCCTTGATGGTTTTGCAAATGATACGCCGCCTGCATATTTTGCTGGGAATGCATGGTCAGTGCAACTGCACTTACGGTGCATGCTCAGGGCATAAGATGTTCGCATGTATCGATGTGCAACGAGTGCTGTATGCTGGTTGTACCCTATGGCTCATGTAGCGCCCGCAGATGACTCATAACTTTTGATCGTCTCATCGCTGCATTATCCGACTCAAAAAGGCTCTTTTTTGTCAGCATATTTGTCCAAGTAGAAGGCATGAAAGAGTAGCACTATGTAGACGGTGCCATGTGCCCAGGAATGCATTTTGTTCATTTCTGTCAAATTGCTTTGCATCTTGTAACTTTGCACCTTACCAGTAGGTTATGAGTTGGGGACTGCACTTTGCTCATGCACATCAAAATATCTTGCAACTATGTAGGTATGTAATTACTAAATAGTCGCTTTATACGAAAGGAGGCAATCTCCATCGAAGTTTTATTGAATGCATTTTATCAGTTACATGTCGAGAGATTCAACGGATTGTTCAACCACTCAGCATAGTCCATGAAACAATAACCTCGATTTTATTGCAAGCTTATAAATGTTTCTATTAATAAATCGGCAATAATGTTATCCCAGAAGCATCACTGGCCGGACTTTTAATCGTCAAACTCACAGGCGTCACAGGTGTAACGTGCGCCATAGGTCTGGATCTTTCCCTTATATGATAGGCCGGCACGGCACGAAAGGCAGTGGCCTGCGCGTGCGCGCCATTCAGACGCTGAACTGCATACTCATGCGTCTTATCTTTGCCATACTCTTGCATGACTCAGGTAGAAGTCGCGGTCAGTCACTTGACCAGAGATCACCATTGAGGAAAACAGAATGCAACGCACGACCAACCCCAAATAAGAGTATGGTTTAGTGGTTGCCTTGTCTTGCAATCCAATTTTGCATAAAGGCTTATATGCAGCTTGTATTCGACACGCGCATTCACGGCTGACGTCTTAGCCCTCGGCTTGCGTACACTAAATGCGTCCAACCGGCCCACCTGACAGAGCCCAGAGCCCCGCTGATCGGACAGACGTGCGTCGCCCACGCCCTGCCGTCGGCGGCGGCTGGCCGGACCTTTGTCGACACTTGTCGAGGTGTGTCGGCAGCGGTTCGGCCGGGCCGTCGGCGCGTGGGGCAGCCGCCGGCCGGCCGGCGCAGACGCCGCGCTCGAAGGTCGCCGGGTCGTGCGGCGCGCGTACGACCCCCGTACGGAGCCCCGCGAGCCGCGTCGGCCCCACCCGCCGCTGCCAGTTGTGTTTATGGTCGAATGCTTGGTCGGCCCGCCGGACGCCTCTGCTGAGAGCCGCGGCGGACAGACCACTGCTGACCGACAATGGCGGAGAAGTCCCCAAAATTCACTGAAAAATGCAATAGTTGCTAGCCAAAACTGTAACTTGTAAACGACTGATTTCAAAATGAGGTGATGTTCGAAATGAATGCGTATGAAATCATGATATGCTCCGTTGGTTAGCTGAAGTACCACGATTTCAAGCGTGCAAACCACGCTAAGCTGATCATACTTCACGGAACAGCCACGGTTGTCTGTGTTTCAAAAGTCATCTAGCAAACGATTCCAATGTTCTTCGTGCCAACGATGCTCAGGAATTGCCAGCGATACAGAACAGACGAATAATGATCTAAATACGTCACGATGGTAAAATTCGGGTTGTTGCCGGGAACGGATCATGCTATAAATACTCGTAAATGGGCGATTGATGAGTGAATGGGCATTTATTATTCAGAATATCGGTGGGTTGCGTGTCACGTGATGGTGGTCCACTGGAACGGGATCAACTATAGAAGCGTTCCGTAAAATGTTGCCCCTGGCTGTTCGTTTGCGCCGTGCTTCGCATCCGTCTTCGTTCGGCGGCGACGCCATTTCATCTCCGCAGTTGGAGCGGAGAGCTGTGATAATGACGTTTCCGAAAGCCAACAATCACTGCTGTATCATTGGCTCCTGCATCTGACGTAGTTAGTTCTTATGGCGAAACAAGAAACAGCTCAGAAACGGCCCCATGACGTCTGTCCGTCGGATGGGAAGATTTTAAATTAAGTTATAAAACCCCGACTGCAGTATGATTTCCCTAATAGTCCATAAAGTATCAGCTTTCTGCGTCGTAATAAACAATTCGAAGATCACATTGCCTTCGTGAGCATGACGTCGACATTATAAGTATCATGTCGACCCCACCTCATGCTCGCTAGAGACGCCTCTGGGATTTGATAAACACTCTTTGGTGGTCGGCTGGGATCTTCGAGGTCGTGTCGGTAGCACGAGCTGCAGGCGGCGGATCATTATGCTGCGGGCTTGTCCAGAGCTGTCGGAGCGACTTGGCTCCGTCGCGCACCGCTGCAGATTTGATGTCGCTGTGCGTTTGTCACTATAACACTCATGATGTTTGTGTGGTATGTACCTTTTGATGGACCACGATTTATAGTTGTGACTCGATGGAAGACGCCCCTCGCGCAGCTGAGACTGACCCTGGGGCAAGGGGGAGGGGTCGACCGGATGTTATGGTCTGGACTGCCCCTCGTCCATCCCTGCCCCTCCCCTCCCCATTCCCAACTGACCCGCGGCGCAGAAATGTGCAGTACTGTGCACTAATGGAGTGCCCCTCCCCATCCGAGAAGGCTTGTGGCGTAATTGAAACATGTCTGGCGTCGTAGGACTGTATGAATGCGGAGTTCTGGTAAGAATATGCGCAGTACGTTGCAGGAGGAGAATGCTATGTTACATAAACTGAGCTGAAAAGTATCGTTATATTTCGTTTCTCAATGAGAGTGAACTGTTAGAAAATATTTAACCTTTCTTGTTCAACACACACGGGATAATTATTGCAGGCGTACACGCTGTCGCATTTTCGATCTCAATAATTTCATGATTCAACGGCTCATTAATTATCAATGACACTAGTTTGCGGGAAAGAAACTATGATCCTTTGTGGGCACCGGTCGTGGTTGCAGCAGGTCTTTCCGTGTTGGTGGGCCTACTACCCAGTGCGTGGGTCTGATCTGATCCCCTCACCAGCACGTGGTGGGTCCGACGTCCCAAACCTTTCCGTGGTCGCGGTTGTTGTCTCTCACGGTCCATGGCTGCCGTCACCGTTCTTCACTGTCGCCGCTCGCTCTCTCTCTCTCTCTCTCTCTCTCTCTCTCTCTCTCTCTCTCTCTCTCTCTCTCTCTCTCTCTCTCTCTCTCTCTCTCTCTCTCTCTCTCTCTCTCTCTCTCTCTCTCTCTCTCTCTCTCTCTCTCTCTTTCTCTCTCTCTCTCTCTCTCTCTCTCTCTCTCTCTCTCTCTCTCTCTCTCTCTCTCTCTCTCTCACTCTCTCTCACTCCTTCACTCCTGGCCTTGCTCTGTGATCTCCACTAACAACCGTCCTCTCCGTCAACCGTCCTCCTTTTCAACAACCGTCCTCCTCCTCTTTCCCCTCCCTCCTCCATCGATAGACCCAATTAGCCGCCACACTGTCCGGATTCCCGGCTTCGGCCATGACGTTTGTCACAGGCTGGACCACCACCTAGTTTTGGCTTCGCTGTCACGTCTGCGCTCACTGTTGTCTGTGCGCTGAGGCATGGTGATACGAAGGGGAATGTGTGGGTCAGCAGGTCACACCACGGAGACCATTGACTATTGAAGAACAATTTAATGCGGTCTCAACGCTACTTTGCACTTCAGTGGCATTGTATGTCAAGAATGGCTGTCTCCTGGGTCCACGCCTCTAATGGTACTGTCTTAGATCAGTAGTGCGCTCTCTGCTAGCTTGCAACAGGACGGGACTACTTTTGGTAACAAATGGTACGCGTTCGACACTGCAAGACTCGCCAAAGTGCGTCACATTCGTCGCTGTTGATGGTCGCCTGCCGGCTGCCAATACCGCTCGCTGGCGTTTAATGCGAGCCAAACCAAGAACCATCCTGGTCAGGAGTCAGAGTCGTGTGGGCGGTAATCGGGGCCCACGGCTTCCGCGCTGCTCTGATTTCGTCAACCCATGGGTAGTGAGAAAGGTTAGTGGAGTATAAGGAGACAAGACTGTTCCGTCCTTTTGGTACCTACTGTATAGAGGTGACCCGGGCTTTGAGAGGGGGCCCGCGAGAGTGTCCCTTGTGGTACTGACTACTGATCGTGGGTTGAGAGCGGGGCCCACCCGAGCGGGGGAAGAGGACTCAGCAGCCTGCGCCGGCGACTGGGCGACCCGGATCTGACCCCGATCTGACCCCGTGTCGGTGGTCCCCGGTGACCGCAGCAGACCGCCCCGGGCTGATAAATGACCGGCCCACCGCCGGGTTAGTCGCGCTGTGCAGGCGGGGATTGCCGTCTGCGGGGGTACTGTTATGGATCACAACAGGTATACTTCCGACTGCGCAGTGCTAGCTGATAAACGGCGGTCACTGGTAATCGTTTAATTCTGGTTTATATTTCAGAATACATTTCTGCGTATAGACAGCAATTTTAATCTCTTTTCCTCAAAGTCGTCTTAAAATTGTCTATCATTATGGAGTTGTTGTTTGTCAAATTATGCTATCAGCAAGATGGTAACCACGAAACACGATATATTGGCTCTGACTACCGAGCACGTAGGTCGGTGATCGACATAGCATTTGCATGGACGGCTGATGGGAATGCGGGCAATGATGTGTTGGATATGCAGGCATTAATTGCGGCCTAGTCACTACTTAATTATCGGGTAACTCAAAGGCATATGCACTGCAGGTTATGCGTGACTTTGATCATTTATTTGTACACTTCCCAGTGTTCGTACTGCCCTCTTAGGTCTACAGAGTACATATGTACATATATTACGTCAATTTTAAAACATATCTTTGTTCGTGATCTGTTGAAATGCCTAATAAAATTTTGATTTTAATACGGAAGCTGATATTTTGATAAAAAAATGTTATGCATCACAGTAAAAGAACAAACAATGCATATTAAAACAATATAGTGGGATCACTTCAGTTCATAATAACTATTATTTTCTAACAATTATCGTTTAGCTAATGAAAAACAGCAAATCATTTATTGCCATTTTTAATGTGAAAGCAAGTGTCATTGCACAACAATCTGTTTTTGTTGTTTTTTTTCTGGCAAAACTATTCCTCGCTACTCCTTAGCTCAGTGGGCCAGGATTTGACAGCAGAACTGCAGCCTTTTTGTGTTTCCACTGGGCGACCTCGCGGGTCGTGTCTGGAATGGTTAGTTCACCTTAATAAAAGGCGTGCCTCGAAACCGACCGTGTGTATAAATAACGTATGAGTTCAAAGAAGCATGACAGTGCTGAAAATGTGCCTTATAGGTCTTTATTTATTTGGAGAAGTTGTATCAAGAGATCAAAACTACAACATTCTACATATATAAGGACCACGATGCCCATATGTTTAGCCAGCTTGTCGCAAAAGCTTGCTCGTTGCGTGCCTTTGCTCATGTAACCTATGTACTGCTGCTGTTACAATAATCGATTACCGGATGTCACCCTGTCAGCCGTCACATTCACGCCTCAGCAGTTGAACTGTCTATAATGTGTAGTGCATCACTGCTCTCAGTCTACGAATAATGCTCACTTCTTCCTTTTCGCTCAATTATCCCTGGCCTGGCCTGGCGCGGATTTACAGCTTTTCGCAACAGAAGGCAGCAGAGCTGCAGGGTGGCCTGACAATCATCTGATTCTGGTCTCTTTCATTCATATTGATGGGTTTGCTCAGATGCAAGCAGTGATCACATCTCATGAAACTGTTCAATTGCCTCGGGGGCGTTACATGCCGCCGGAAAGTGTCTTTCGGTGGCCAGCCTCCGGAAAATTGTCTCGTGGGTGGCTAACACCCACGAGACAGTGCCACCTGTCGCGGAACAGTCGCCCGTGACAGTGATATATCTTATGTGTACGTGAGCTGGAGATCGCCCGTATTGCGTGGAATATAGCTGCTTGTCATGCCTAATGTTATTACAAGGTCATTTATACTCATATAAGTGACTGTTGGCTTGGAAGGCATTAGTTTCGGCTATGACCTTATGCATGAATATAGGTCGCCGTAAGACTCAGAAGTTTTCCTCCTAACGGAGCATTTTGAACCTTTAAGCACACTGAAGGTGAATGTAGATCCACAGCTGCGTATTTTTCAAGCCGTTATTCGACTTAGTGCCAACCTACAAATAGTTCAAAACCACTTACTTCTCGCCTGCGTGCGTAATGTGAGCTCAGCTGACAAGTTTCTTGGATCGATTATTTATATGTTTGATGTTTGAAAGAAACACTCGATAATTAATTTATTATGAATCGCAGGGCATATCGTTCGAATCCTGATGAAATGCTATGGGCATACAAAATGCATAACCACATCGATGAGTGATGTGATCTACATTGATCCTATGCAATCACCTCGCATTGACGCTCACATTTGCTAAGCTGGCGCTGTGTGAAAAGAGCGTGCTTCATTCCGGGAATGCGTCGCAGCCTGGACTCAATGAATGGCTGATAACCCAACGAAAACAGTATTGCCAGTGTATGAGGGTGAATGGTGATATGGCTCATAGATCGTACGGACCGAATAATTCAGGCAACCGATACCCCTCAGAAATACATAAGCGAACATCCATAGATTTATATATCGATGTCAGTAAAGCGCCCAACCCTTTCACACAATAGACAGTGGACTCACCTAGCCACATTCCCAACCATCTTAGCCATCTTAGCCATCTTTCTCTCGTCTGCGGGCAGTTCCTCCTGCGCGCCACATGCACTGGGAGGAGCGCGAGATCGCCATGAAACTGCAGGTCTCCGACCGGCCCGAGTCGCAGCTCACCGCCTGGATTTTCAAACTGTTCCTGGAGGAGGCGCTCGGCTACGAGCGGGTCGAGCTGGTGAACGTGCGAGACACGTACAACATGACCACCTACATTCGCACACTCTCTGACTGTCCCAGGTCAGTCTGCGCCCTGCGGCCTGATCTGCTGTGGTGGTCGTACCGTCAGAGATAATGCGAAATGTCCGCATACCTAATTGAGGTTGGTAGCTTGACTTGTTTGGCTAGCTTGACTTTTTGTAATAGGAATATTGCTAACTTAGAGTTAAAGAAACGTCACAGCTACATGGAAACTTGCCCGTGAGGCGGTCCACCATCCTGCCACAAATGAGTCAGCTGTTATTGTATCGTCTCTGCGACAAGCATAAGTTCCAATACACTTTACATGTGTCCTTTACCTGTGTTACATCACTCTTATTTCTCTGTGCTGCCCAGTGTCCGTATCACACCTTTGACCTTTGCCACACCATTGTTGTGCTCCCATTACGGAGTATACCCCTCGTTATATCCCATCTCACACATCTGTCACACGCCTGCAACTCCTCTCATGCCCCCCCCCCCCCGTACGGCAGGTGCGTGGATCTGGGTCCTCTGTACCTGCACGAGCAGGACGGAGAAGAAGCCGTGGTCGAACCCGAGGCCACCATCAACCTGGAGGTGTGGACGCTACCCGGCTACGAACACGAACAGGATTTACTGATGTATAACGTCATGTACGCCGGCCCGCTGGGGCGCCGTCACAGGTCAGTCGCCGCCAGGTCACGTCACGGGTCACAGGTCAGGTCATCACAGATCAGTCGGGCGGGTTATGGCTTGTATGTCACAGGTTGCGGGACAGGTCATATCACAAGACGGGTAGGAAGTCAGTAAGATGCCTTGATGCAGCAGACGTGGCTTGAGGGGCCGGTGGGTGGCTTCATGGCTCGAACAGAGACGCTAATGCTGGGCTTTGATGTAATCGATGAAGTAATACTGATTCAATGGACCGTGCTTATGATGATATGCCATCTTCTCGACTTTGATAGCCTTTCGTGGGTTGTGTAAACTGAGACGTTGTTTGAAGTTCTCCCGGGGATTTATCGGCGGCTCGGAAATTCCGGCTACACGCTAGTACTACGGCGTGATGATATAACCCTCTGAGCTTGTCCAAATAGAGCTTCGGTGGATTGATTGAATGTGGCTGGTG